CTCGCCCTTTAACAGGAGTTTGTTTTGAAGGAACTTCCGGTTTGTTTTTTCTAACTTGACGGAGGCGGTTTGAAGTTTTTAGTTTTTTCTGACTTCAGCTAAAAACAGAAAAACTTTTTCTTCTGTTTTCAGTGTTTCTGGAGAACTGAACGTTTCTGCGGTGAAAGTGAAACTGAAGCCGTTTAAACTCGTTCCACGTGTAAAACCGTAAATAACGGCAGCACAGCTGGTTAGTTAGTTAGTCGGGTAACTAGTTCACCTGGTGATCTGGGGCTGCTGGTGAACGGCTCTCTGAGCGTCTCCTTCCCGGGTCGCTGTCGGAGTTCCTCCCGCTGTCAGCTCCGGGATGTTCGGAGCTCCTCGGCCGGAGTCTGGACGCTTGTGGAGCCGCAGAGTGAAGCTCCGGAGGCGGACAGACGGGCGGGAGGAGCCGGGCCCGCCCACCGGGAGGCCTTCAGGAGCAGCGGACAACCAGGACTCCCTCACTAACGATGATGTCATCAGAATCATAATAATAATAACAATAATAATAATAATAATAATAATAATAATAATAACAATCAGATGGAGGACCAGCTGGTTTCTTGCTGCATCTCTGGACTGTTTCCTGTTAAAGCGTGCTGGTGTGGAACCACCTGACAGGTCTTCTGTGGATCACAGGCAGAATCTGGTCCAACCACAGAGCAGAACTGGTTTAGTGCTGGTCTCAGACAGGAACACAAAGCTGGACCCCAGAACCTGCACGTTCACATGTTCTCCGTTTCACTCGACTTAAATCAGCTAAAAAACAAAAGAATGATTTTACACACGTTCTGTTTCATGGTGTTCTGAGCGTCCGGTACTTTGATCCGGTCTACCGTCTTACAGTCATTTCACAGAACCAGGTTCTGTAGTTTGTGTGTTGTTTTAGAACCGCGTCAGTCCAAGTCCTTCATGAAGACCAGCTCCAGAACAACAGTCACCAGTAAAACCAGTAACACTGAGATAAAACGATAAAATCACACAACACACAGAAAACGAAGGTAACGTCTACATGAGCAGCAGGCAGAAGGTTCAGGGAGAAGAACCTGGTTCTACAGTCTTACTGGGTCAGATCAGAACTTTGGAGGCGTTTAGAAAAGAGCTGGACGTGAAGAAGCTCCCAGAAGCCTCTGCTGCCTCCTGCTGGACCCAAACGCTCAGATGGTTTCTCAGGACGAGCACTGCTGATGGACGGAGCCTGGAGGAAACATCTCACACGTTCTCGGATTAAAGAAGGAACTTCAGTGCAAACTGCAGACATTCAAACCGTCTGAACTGAACTCAGCAGCTGGTGGTTCAGCTGCACATAAAGGCGATAAAATGAAAAGCACCACAAAGACAAGGAGCCTTTTCAACATCTGTTGAAGCAGAATCTGAGCCGGTTCTGCTGACTCGTCTCTCCTGAAGCAGAACCTTTCTCTGGTTTCCTGTCAGTCAGAGTTCAGCCTGAAGAGAAGCAGGCTGTTGTTATTCTACACCGATGACCGCCGACTCTGAGCCTCCATCACGGAGGAAACGTGTCCGGATCCGTTACTGAAGACAGCCAGTAGAACCTGAACAGACTCTGGGCTCCAGTAAACTCTGGAACCCGTCTGGGTTTGGGCCTCAACAGAAGCATTTAGCAGCAGCTTGACTCCATCTGTCAGACTTAAAGCAACTTGTACTGCTTTCCGTTGTGTAACAGCATCAGTGAAGATGCTGCAGATCCAAAACTGAGCTCCAGTACCAGAACCATCAGCTGTGACTGAAGGTCGTAACGTTGAAGACTCGACTGATCTCAGTGAGGACACTCCATGTTTTGTAGAGCTGGAAGCAGCTGAAGCAGAGAAACCGTGAACCAGCAGAGTTGAACTTTAACGGCTGAACATCGTGTGTTAATGTTTAACGTCCAGTCATGTGAAAGGAGCCTTTAAGTGGAGAAGTCAGCAGCAGCATCGGACGCTGAGGCGGCGAGCAGCAGGTGAAGAAGCTTCGTCTTTGGGTTGTGACTGAAGCTGCTGCTTCAACAAGGTAACCTGAAAATCCACTTTTACAATCACCAGAAGTAATGAGACGCTGTCAGAAGCTGATGTGTTGAACCGACTCGGGTCCGTCTGGGTTCTGTTCTCAGCAGAAGTTTAACATAAACGCTGACTAAACAGCTGAAGCTTTATGTAGATGAAGTACAGATTAAATCCCGTCAGACTGACAGCCTCAGACTCCTGATGGGTTGACTGAGGGTTCGGGTGACTTGTGATGTGACGACAGCGTTTCACAGCATCGACGGTCCGTGTTCTACCGACAGCCGGGTTTTTACAGCCCGACCCATAAAACTCAGCTGACTGTCTCCTGCAGGGGAAATGCTGAGCCGCTGGTTGGCCGTCACAGTTCTGATGAGTTCTGCTGCTGCCGGACCGAGGCCCGTAACGGTCGGACCAACCAGCAGGTTGGAGGCGGAACCAGAAGCTGAGCTCACTTTAACATGTGAACAGAGCAACGGTCAGTTTACACTTTTATTTTGAAATGATTTTTTTCTGGCCTTTTTGCCTTCATTAGTCATTCAGACAGTGAGAGAGACAGGAAGAGGAGAAGAGGAGGAAGAGAGGAGGAGGACCTGCACTGAAGGTGGGCGGGAGTCCAACCCACAACCGCTGGGTCGGCTAGCTATAGCTAGCTACAGCTAACTGTAGCTAGATGTAGCTAACTACAGCTAACTGTAGCTAACTATAGCTAACTACCGCTAACTACAGCTGTAGCTAACTACAGTTATGTACCGCTAACGACAGCTAGCTGTACCTAACTAAAGATAGCTATAGTCAGCTATAGCTAACTACAGCTAACTGCAGCTAACTGTAGCTAACTACAGCTAACTGCAGCTAACTATAGCTAACTGCAGCTAAGTACAGCTAACTGTAGCTAACTGAATTTAACTGTAGCTAACTACTGCTAACTACAGCTGGAGCTAACTATAGTTATGTACCGCTAACAACAGCTAGCTGTAGCTAACTAAAACTAGCTACAGTAAACTATAGCTAACTACAGCTAACTGCAGCTAACTGTAGCTAACTGTAGCTAGCTGCAGCTGGAGCTAACTATAGCTAACTACTGCTAACTACAGCTAGCTGTAACTAACTAAAGCTAACTACAGCTAACTATGTCTAACTACAGCCAACCACAGTTAACTACAGCTAACTAAAGCTAACAATAGGAAGAACATGAACTCATTCTGTCCAGAACCAACCAGACCTGGACCACGTTCCCTCAGAACCACTTGATTCTTCATCTGCAGTGACTTCAGTGTGTTTAATGAAGCCACAACCTAAGTAGTTACGAGAAACAACCTCGACTTTCATGGAATTAATGAGTTATTAAAGTTGTCGTATTGCTGCGCTGCAAATTTTAATCATAAAGTTTAAAGCAGCAGAGCTTCAGGTGTCTCNTATCCCAGAAGGGAAATTCAATATTGTAAAAGCTCACTTCAATATTACTTCAAATCAATATAACATATATATGCAACAATAACAACCATTCAGTCAGATTTGTTTTTTAAGGTGATGGCTGTTGGCAGGAATGAATTCCTGCATCTCTCTGTTCTACAGTGAAGCTGACGCAGCCTCCCACTAAACACACTCTGTTGGTTCTTCACTGTGTTGTGGAGAGGGTGGGAACAATCCTCCATCATCTTCAGCGCTATGAGATGACTGTTGTTGTAAATATGTGCTATACAAATAAAATTGAATTGAATTGAATTGATCATCTTGTGCAGCATTCTTTTTTTGAACAATCAGCTCCAGTGGTTCCAGAGTTATCCCCAGCACAGAACCAGCTTTCCTGATCAGCTTGTTTAGCTTCTTTAAGTCTCTGGTTCTGATGCTACTGCCCCAGCAGATGGCTGCAAAGCTGATTGCACTTTCCACAACAGACTTATAGAAGATCTGCAACATCTTG